CAAAAGTCAGGAGTAGTTTTTTTCTTAACTATTACTTTGGCAAGCCAAAAAATTATAATTGAGGTGCAACCTATCAGTTATCCTAACCTCATTCAGTTTTCTGTTGAAGGAATCTTAAATACTTGGTCATCACCCTAATTTTTATACTTCCATTATGCAAAACTTACTCAATTTGAAGATAGCTTACCTCTTGTGCAAGCTTTGGTCTAGCCCCTCAAATAACATGAGTGTCATGAGGCAGAGCTGCCTTCCTCACAAGGGTATTACTAAGAAAGCTGCAGTGTGAACTGCAGACAGGAAGGGCTGCCTCCGTGCTCCCCATCTCACTCTCTTTTTTAAAAGAATTTATTTATTTACTTGAGAGGTAGAGTTACAGACAGCGAGAGGGACAGATAGAGAGAAAGGTCTTCCACCCACTGGTTCACTCCCCAGATGGCCACAATGGTCGGAGCTTCACCGATCCGAAGCCAGGAGCTTCCTCTGGGTCTGCCTCATGGGTGCAGGGTTCCAAGGACTTGGGCCATCTTCCACTGCCTTCCTAGGCCACAGTAAAGAGGTGCATGGGGAGTGGAGCAGCTGGGACTTGAACCAATGCCCATATGGGATGCCAGCACTGTAGACAGAGGATTAACCTACAGCACCACAGCGCTGTTCCCCATCTTTTAAATGAGCAAATAAAAGTGCCCATCATCCGTGATCAGAGATTAAACATCACATGCACTATTTTATTTCCATTTTTAGTCCTTTCAACAGCCCTACCAAAATATAAAATAATTCCCAGAAATGGGCACAAATTGGGGGAAACAGTGCCAGACATCAAATTCTGCTCACCTTTGACTTAACCTTGCTTACCTCCTGGTGAGTAAAACCCAAATAACTAAAAAATACTCCACACCCAAAGCTGTGTCCTAGCAAACAGAGAAGCACGCACCAAGGCCTGCATGTGTCTTCCTGGCTTGACCTGCTCGTTTTTATCATCCTGAGTCTTTGCAAAAAGATGGTCGACCGCTAAGGCCATGAAAGTATCCAACTAGAATCAACAGTTCCGGCCCATGACAAGCAATCCTCCGCTGACACATAGTCCCTCTTAATAGATAATAAAGAGCTATTTTAAATGCACTAACACATGGTAATTATCTGTAATTCTCCATTTGTAATGTAACTAAATAGGAAAAAAAAATCATGCAAATGTGGACACATGCTGATGGAGCTTACACTGAGATTAACATTAGGATACTCACTACAGGAACCTAACTTGACCAAGTCGTGTTGTTTGAAAAGCAGGTCTTCATCCCAATGACAATGTATACCACAGACTGTTGGAAACGAGCAGCGTTTCCACAAGGCACAACCCACAAGAAGAGCAGTGGTTAGAGACATGTGGCTCCATGGCTGAGAAGCTGACTCAGTGTGGTACTTGTTTGGCTGCTCAGACTTAAGTGGTTCTGTATCAGCTCTAAAGTGAGGGGAAGAGAAACACAGTCCGCAGCTTCTTACAGAGGTTTTTTGTTTTGTTTTGCAACTGCAGAGAACTATAATCTTAGCATTTTAGCGGTCAGTTATCCTCACTTAGCAGATGAGAACAAGAAAACCCAGAGGCTGTTCACAGCAGCAATTCACAAAGCCCAGACGGTGGAGGAGAATGGAAGCCACGGAGAGACCTCTGCTCGCCATCTGACTTAGCCACTCATCTTCAATCTTGGCCAGACATCAGCACGTCCCTTCATATGCAGATGGTTTGTCTGAAAGTCTCAGTGTCAATCAGTAAACCTTGAACACTGTGTGCTGCACTCTGGGGTCATGATAGTAATTAAGGCACACCTAGCATAGAAAAGACAATGTCACCTAATGTAACACCATGGTAAGTTTTTCAAATTCCATGAATTTTCATTCCACAAATGCAAGTATATGGTGAGTATATGTGCATGTGTAAAGGAGCAGGTGTGTTCACACAGCATTAACATATATGCACTTGACATGGGCAGCTATCCAGGCCTGAAGCGAAAGTCTCAATTGCTAATAAGCAGCATGGACTGACCAGATGGCAACAAGAGAAAAGGATAATTTTGTACTTAAGAGTTGAAGATGGACTAGGAAAAAAGATGGAAGCCCAAGTTAGCACTGGGTAACAAAAAAGGGGAAGTGACCAGGCCCCAGGACAAGCAGGGACAAAGGTGCCCACCAGATGACCACATACAGTCCTAGGGCAGACAGAATACCAGCCCCTGGTGAGCAACAGAAATGACCTTTGCATGTAGCTCACTGGACAGCTTATGCTGGGTTTGACCCAGATCAACAACCGCCAGCCCTGAGAGCTACTTGCTTTTGCCTTAACAAATGATGAGACAACTGAAACCAGAAATGAATTGATTTTAATTTCTTCTATAACTCTGGAAAGTTAGATGTATATTTTAGTACAGAATGCTTCCAATCTACTGAGGAAGAAAATCTGAAAATAATTAGCTTATATATTGTGATTTTTAATTTAATTTTTATAGTGATTTTTAATTTTTGGGAGAAGTGACAACTAAGAATTCCATTGAAACTCTATTACTAACAGACCTAAGCAAATTTATGGGAAAAATGCCTAGGGGCTGGTGTGGCACAGTGGATTAAGGCACCATTTGCAATGCTGGCATCCCACATCAGAGTCCCAAGTGTTCCACTTCTGACCCAGTTTCCGGTTAATGTACCTGAGAAGACAGAGGAAGATGGCTCAAATAGTTAGGGCCCTGCCATCACATGGAAGATCCAGATAGAGTTCCTTGTTCCTGGCTTTGGCCTGGGCCAGATCTAGTGATGTGGCTATTTGGGGAGTGAACCAGTAGATAGAAGATGTCTCACCCCCAACCCCTCACCCCATCCCATCCCCACTCTGTCAGCCTTCATCCATCACCATAGCTATGCCTTTCAGATAAACACATAAATCTGTTTTTTTTTTTTCTGCTCCAGCTTTCTGTTGTGGCCTGGGAAAGCAGAAGTTGGCCCAAGTCCTTGGGCCCCTGCATCCGCGTGGGAGACCTATAAGAAGCTCCTGGCTCCTGGCTTTGGATCAGCTCAGCTCTGGCTGTTGCAGCTACCCGGGGAGTGAGCCAACAGATGGAAGACCTCTCTCTGTGCCTCTGCCTCTGCCTCTCTGTAACTCTGTCTTTCAAATAAATAAATAAACCTAAAAAAAAAAAAAGATGTGGAATTCAAGTATCCCATATCAGAATGCCTGGGTTTGAGTCCTGGCTCCACTTCCCATTCCAGTTTCTTTTTAATGTGCACCCTGGAAGACAGCAAGTGATTGCTCAAGTACTTAGGTCCCTGCCACCCATCTGGGAGATATGGACTGAGTTCCTAGCTGCCAGATTTGGCCTAGCCCAGATCTGGTGGACGATCTCTATTTCTAGTATATAATATGTGTGCTATGTGAAATAGATATATTTTCATATATATAATATATATTTATTATATATATATACTATATGGAAATACATATATATATAAACAATTTATTTTTGTTCACAGGCATTTAAATGTATGAGGCACATACAACACACTCACAGCGTGACCACACAATCAGGTAGAGAACAGAACCTTGCAAGGAGTAAGAGAAACCAGACTTCATGCACTGCTATATCTGCATCAAGAGGCTTGTCAGGTTCTCATTCCTCATTTATGCAAGGGTAGTGGGGCTCTTATAGTTTTAGTCTACCAATGAACAATACTCTGTAACATCCTAAAGTAAAGGAAACCTCTCAGACTGTAATTGAATACTTAGGTAACCTGATGGAACAAAGACATAAGCCTCAGCCATTCTTGCTCATTGCCCAAAAGACAGATAAACAGTGGAATTTATTCCTTGCCCTTGAATTTCAATTGGGTCTCACACCATATTGCCTTCACACCCCACCCCTGCATTCTTTCATAGGTTCCTAAGGCCCTGCATGGGCACCTGAAAGACCAGTTCCAGGAATTCACCTCTGCCTGCCACCCCCACCCTCACTCTCATCCCTAGCCTTCCTGAAATATATAAAGGCCCGGGCCTCTGGGGCCAGGGCCTTCTGTCAAGGACAGACATTGTGTTCCACTGGTGTGCATGTGGGCAGTTGGTCACCCACCTCTATGACTTCATTTTCTCTGAATAAATTCAGTCTGGCTGTAGATTCGTATACAGCCTCCTCTCTACTCTGCGCCTCTTTTCCTAAGATAACCAGCTTTGGAGAATGCGTTCCTAACGATGGTAAACATGATGTCAACCAAACACACCACACACTTTAATCCTGAAGTTAGCTGACATACACAGACATGGGATGAGACAAACTTCAATGTGGGTTACCATATAGCCAGTCTGGTTGTTTCCACAACAGGAACTTTCTTACGACCATTTTACTAGGCAAATTTCCTCTAAGAAGCTTACATTACTGAGAGCTACTGAACAAAATAAAACTTGTCAAAATTTTGCAAACTTGGTTTTACTCCCACTCTGTTAAGTGAACTGCCTATTAAGTAAACTACTAACCATTTTATTACTGTTCATGTTTTTAGGACGTCATAAACAGCATTAAGACTCATTTCTAAGTTCCTCACCAAAAATGAACATATTTTTCTTGTGTTACTACTTATGAATGTAAATATTTCATTAGTGTTTCATTCTATTTTAGACTTTATAAGGTTTTTAAAGAATCATGGTATCTCCAAGGCTTTAACATTACAAATCATTTAGATAATTGGAAAACTAACATTTATTACGCTTTATCACATTATGTCACCCTAACCACAAAACTGTATTGCCACTTCAGAGATGATAACACTTCAGCAGAGAGGAGTTAAGGGAACTGGTCAAAATTACAAAAGGGCACAGGATTCAAAAGCCAGGTCTGTCTGGCTCCAAATCCTAAACTCTTTCATTTTTATTTTGTTACTGTGCTCAAGCCCCTCAAGAAAGCCAACTGCTAAACTGTGCACCTTAACTTAACAAAATCACACAAACATGCCCCGATCCTACTTCATACCTTTAATCCCCTGAAACTTCCTGGGCTTGTCGGAGAGGAGCTGGAGGACTTCGTGGATTTAGGAGTGGAGAGTTGGCTGCTGGGAGTTCCATTAACTGATCATGAAACAACAAAGGAGAGAGAGGTCATCAAAACACAACACTACCAAGGTGCACAGAACACTAAGTGCATGCAAAACACAGCTCCAAGGAAGCTTCACTTAAAGCTCGAAGCAGATGACAAGTCAGCAAAAAGCAAAAATAATGCAATATTTCTGCATAACAAACAAAAAGATCCGACAAGGAGTGAGACTAAATTTTCAATAATAGTTGTCTAACAGTGATATAAACACATATATAAGACATTGTGGAATTAGAGATGTAAACAAGAATGGGTCCATGTATCCTGCTTGGTAGCAAAGGTCAAGAAATGAACAGCTGTTACTCATAATGGTTTATTCTGCCGGCTGCTCGATCATCTCCAATAGCCAACATCCTGTTGTATACCAACTCGAGCAACCAAGCAGCTCTTGTGCCTCTCCCAGATCAATTCACCACAATCCAGACACACTCCTAAGTACAGTCTCAGCAACAAGGCAATACTGCTGGTGTTCTCCTTGCAGTATCTACATATTTGCCTGAAGGCCAAAGACCTTTTTCAAGTTCCTTTTTAGACAAATTATCTTCAATTCCTCCCATTTTATTCACAGCTTAGGTTCCCATTATTTGGGAGATCTTGGTAGTTTTATATATATGCTCTCTAAATCTCCACGCACTTCCTTGGCTGAAAGTTCATTTTAGATCCTGTGTTAGGAGGAGAATGGACACCGTTGTTTAGAAAGGATGGTCAATTTGCCACTTCTGCATTGTAGAACACGGGTCAAACATTTCATCATAATCATTCCTAATGTATGTATATTCATTCCTAATTTTATCAACTGCTTGCACTCCCGCAGTAATTGCACAAAGGCAGTGGTTAACATCTGGTACTGTTTTTCTCCTTGAAAGTGTAGCCGGCGCCGCGGCTCACTAGGCTAATCCTCCGCCTAGCGGCGCCGGCACACCGGGTTCTAGTCCCGGTCGGGGCGCCGGATTCTGTCCTGGTTGCCCCTCTTCCAGGCCAGCCCTCTGCTGTGGCCAGGGAGTGCAGTGGAGGATGGCCCAGGTGCTTGGGCCCTGCACCCCATGGGAGACCAGGAAAAGCACCTGGCTCCTGGCTCCTGCCATCGCATCAGCGCGGTGCGCCGGCCGCGGCAGCCATTGGAGGGTGAACCAACGGCAAAGGAAGACCTTTCTCTCTGTCTCTCTCTCACTGTCCACTCTGCCTGTCAAAAAAAAAAAAAAAAAAAAAAAGAAAGTGTATTTGTAGTTCCTTTTATTACTTGTATTAATCCTCCAAACTTTTGCCCTAGAGTGATTAAAAACTACTATTCGTATTGTATGGAAAGAAATGCAAACTCAACCTGCTCTTCTTTTCTTAACGTGAGAGAGTGAATAGATAGCTATGATTTTAAAGGATGTTAGTATGTACACAAAGCCAAATGCACAGGTAAAGGAACTGAACAGGTGGCTCAAAAAATTGAGTTCTAGTCCTTCAATGGAGATAGAAATTCTGCATCAATACTTAGGATAAAACAAACCATCTGTAGACATGTATATGTGTGTGTTTGAAATGTGTTTATTGTATTATTTAAAAATTTGTCAAGATTTATAATTGTTTTAATGATTTATATATATTTAAAGATTTATTTATTTATTTGAAAGGCAGCGTTGCAAACAGAGGGAGGCAGAGAGAGGGAGGTCTTCCATGCACTGTTCACTCTTCAAATGGCCACAAAGGCTGCTGGGTGGATTTGAAGCCAGGAGCCAGGAGCTTCTTCCGGGTCTCCCACGTGGGTGCAGGGCCCAAGCATTTGGGCCATCCTCCACTGCTTTCCCAGGCCACAGCAGAGAGCTGGATCATAAGAGGAGCAACCAGGACAAAAACCAGGATGCTGGTGCAGCAGGCAGAGGCTTGGCCTATTATGCCACAATGCCAGCCACAGATTTTTTTATATTTCTAAACTTTGGTTTTTCTAATTCAAAACTACTCATTCAAAAAAAAAAAAAAGTTGGAGGTTGGTCATCAGATTTTTCCATACATAGAAGTAACCATACAATTAATTCAAAACATTTGAGAGTAATCAACAACCCTGGTTATTTCCAATTAAGGTAATTATTGATTTATTTGAAAGGTGGAGCACAGAGGATTTCTAAGGTAGGGTGACTAGTCATACACTATCTTGGTAGACACATGTCATCTTAAATTTCTCCAAACCCAGGAGATGTGCAACACCAAGAGGGAATTGGGGAGTGCGGGGCTGGTAACAATGCATCAGTGTAGCTTCCTCAGTGTTAAACGTGAGCTACACTGTGGGGGACGGTGATCACCGAGAGACTGTGGATGTTTAGGGGTCAGGGATACACAGCAAACCTGTGCCTTCTGCTCAGTTTGGCTATGTACCTAAAACTGTTCTGAAAAAAAAAAAATAAGATTCACAATAGGTAGAGGCTACTGCGGGTGATAACCTGGTGGCTTGCTGTGAGCTGAGGCCCTGCTTTTCTTCCCCCACCCTCACAGCAACCTGTACAGGTTACCAGAGAGCAGCAGCAGATGACCCAAGTTCTTCGGCTCCTGCTGCCCACGTGGGAGACCTGGATGGAGTCCCTGCCTCCTGGCTTCAGCCTGGCCCAGTCCTGGCCATTTGGGGAGTGAACCAATGAACGGGAGATCTGTCTCTCCTCCGTAACTCTGCTGCTCAAATAAATCAATCTTAAATAAGTCCTGTTAGCATTCACTGTAGTCAGCAGCCCCACTGATGGCAAAGGCTGCCTGAGAATGGTGACTGGAAAGTGGACAGAGGAGAAAGATGGGTTCTTGCAGATAACAGGCTCTGGGAGAGGCCAATCTCCCTCCATCCCCTGCCGAAGCACAGTTTCTGAACAAAACTCATTGCCAGAGCTTTAACTGATGTCAAATGTATGTCCATACTTTCCCCAGAATAACTGTGATCCCAAACAACCCTCCAAGTTTTCAAAGGTATTGGGAAAGTTCTGAAAAATGTTCTCTATTGAGTAGCCCTTAATTTCACATATGGGATGCTGACCAGTGCCAGGAGGGGCCCTCATCCCTCACTGTGCTGCCCACTGGAAGGTGTGCAATGCCAGGCTGGCAGATGCTCCTACACTCCTATCCTACACCCTGTATTTCCTCTCTGAACTTTTTATCTCCTCCCCTCACAGTAAGGTAAGAACTATACTTGGGAGCTTTCCTGTATTTTTGTGCTAAATACTTTTTACTTTGTTAGACTATAAAAGAATTATAAGCTAGAAAGGGGAGGGGTGGCATTCAATCTAGTGGTTAAACTGCTGGTTGGGACACCCACATCCCATGTTATTGTGCCTGGGGGTTGAAGCCTCAGCTCCATCCCTGATCCTTGGGAAGAAGCAAGGGACAGGTTGGGTGCCCACCAGCCATGTGAGAGACCTGGATTGTTCCCGGCTCCTGGCTTTGTGCAGGCCTGTGAGGAGTGAACCAATAGTTGGCAGCTTTGCCTCTCTTCTTCTCAAATACAAATTTTAATAAGTTTTTAAAAAACCAACAAAGGGGCTAGTGTTGTGGCATAGGTTAAGCTGCCATCTGCAGCACTGACACCCCATATGGGTGCCAATTTGAGTCATGGCTGCTCCACTTCTGATCCAGCTCCCTGCTAATGGCCTGGAAAAAGCAGTCAAAGATGGCCCAAGAGCTTGGGCCCCTGCACCCACGTGGGAGACTTGGACAAAGCTCCTGGCTCCTGGCTTTGGCCTGGCCTAGCCAGGCCATTGCAGCCATTTGGGGAGTAAACCAGAAGATGGAAGACTCTGTCTCTCCCTATCTCTCCCTCTGTAACTCTACCTTTCAAGTAAATAAAAAAAATTTTTTTTTTGACAGGCAGAGTGGACAGTGAGAGAGAGAGACAGAGAGAAAGGTCTTCCTTTGCCGTTGGTTCACCCTCCAATGGCCGCTGCAGCTAGCGTGCTGCAGCCGGCACATTGAGCTGATCTGAAGCCAGGAGCCAGGTGCTTATCCTGGTCTCCTATGCAGGTGCAGGGCCCAAGGACTTGGGCCATCCTCCACTGCACTCCCGGGCCACAGCAGAGAGCTGGCCTGGAAGAGGGGCAACCGGGACAGAATCTGGTGCCCCGACTGGGACTAGAACCTGGTGTGCCGGTGCCGCAAGGCGGAGGATTAGCCTACTGAGCCACGGCACCGGCCTCAAGTAAATAAATCTTAAAAAAAAATAAATAAAACCTAAGCAAGAATTTTCTAAAATACCCAATTTATAATTATTTACCCATTTATGTTATCCAGATTAACATCTATGTATTTATTAATTTTGCTTAGCTCCTCTGGTTGAGTTTTGGTAAAGGTTTTGGTCAATCACTCAAAACACTACTTCTGTCCCAAGACTGAAGAAGTGCAATATTATACTACACAATGAACAGCTGTTTGTTTGAAATTCCAATTAGTCCCATGGAACTTTAAAAATGGCAACAGGTACACTGCAGCTACTCTTGGGTACTGGAGCTTCTACTTTTAAAACAAAACTGCCTCCCCCGTGGTGGTAGGTGGTGGTAAGATACCATGTAGATTAACAGAGTAGCTGTCTGCAGAATCTCACTCGAGTCACAGCACTTGCCTCAGGCTTTCAGCTTTCTGCACTACAGCAAGTACTGAGCACCCCTGGACTTAATCTCATATAAAGAAGAGCATTTGCCCTCTGAAATTTGATTTTTAACATCTCACAACTTTTACTGATGAGTTTGAGGCCTATTAACTCAAAACCAAACATGGACTCGGTTGAAAATTTTGCACAGTGGAATGCTATCAATTTCCTAATCAGTTTCTAAGCATCCCAAATTCTAATTTTAAAGAATTATTGATATATTTTCTGGTCTGTTGGACAAAAATGGCTGTTAGTTCAGCTCACTCATTTTCCTCTGTGGACCAGGGTGTGGATGGGAAGGTAGACAGAGGTGAACTCATAACACCTGATTTTTAGACCATGCTTCCTAGTTGTGTTTAATTATCTTAGTGATGTAATAGACATTTATAAATGTATCACCTGAAACAAAACTAGGAACCTGACAAAGACATACATCTACCATTTGATAACACCAGGCCGTGTATTTATGCAAATTTCATATTATACCAGCTTTCCCAGTTTTGAGACATCTTACAAAGTTTGTAATATAATTTAAATGAGGTTAATGGCAAAAAGATCTCTGCTTAAAAATGCTCGTATTGTCAGTCATATTTTTAGAGTATGTTAAGTCAAGAATTTTATGAAAATTATTGTTTGACAACTAGAAAGACTGCCTCCCTATCCCAGAACTCTACTCTGGCATATGCTATTATAAAGTCTGCTGAATTCTAAGACTTGGAACAATGAGGGTGGAAGAGTACAATGCTTCTATGGTCATTTTCAAATTATAAACCTTTTTCAGTTACAGAGAAAACTTGCCAAACTAATGGGAAGGGAGGCTTTTAAGGTGAGGCGCCTCCTGGCACCACACACAAGACAGGCACTTGGCCATCTCCCAACAGTAGCTGACTCAATGATAAACCAAGGCGACTGGTGCGTCCTGTGCATCGTGAAGCGTTTCGTACTGCACGAATGTACACTGGAATAAGCCAGATGCATTCATGGAAACGGAGCAAAAGGAAACAGAAATGTGGCAAAAGACACGGACAAAAACCCGGCAGAGCGACAAAGCCATACTAAGCATGGCTCACCTGGGGACTTGGCTGCAGAATAGGCACTGGAGTAGTGGCCAGCCCTCCTTACTGTGCACATGCAGAATGTACAGGGCGGGGGGAGACAGACAGTGGTTATTCGCAGGTCGACGTGTGGACACGAGAAGGTAGAAAAAAGAAAAAACCTGCCTTAAGGAACACGCTGCAGGGAAGCAGGCAAAGTGCAGTGTTTAAAATCTCAAAGTTTGACGCTCATGATGGTGTTTATTGATACTACTTTCAGATGTCCTAGGTTTCCCATGTGTAAAATCACAAGTGGTTTGTTTTTTCAATAGTTCTCCCCTTACTGGACAATGGTATCAGCAAAATTACTTCTTAATTACTATAAACAAACCCACAGAATCAATAGAATCAGATATTTATGCTATTTTTAATAACACAATAATTAAGCATGAAAAAATAAAATCTGAAGGCTTAGGATCTGAAAGAAACTTTAATCACAGGCAAGCCTGACCCTTAAATATGGAAAGTACCACATTCCAACAAAAGTCAGTGCCATTATTGTGCTGTAAATGTAAGGCCAGTGTAAATTTATGAACATATTTCTGTGTGTTGCATAGAAGTGAGAGAGAGAGAGGGAAGTTGACTTATTAGTTTATAAGAGGTAATGTTAGGATAGTATCCACAATTATACAGCACACAATTAAAAATGCAGGAGTTATTAAAACGGGAGCCACATCTATGTAAATACCAGAAGACTCTAGATAATACGGCTATTCTCAGGAAAATGCATCAGAACAAAATCACACAAGTCCTTTCCGGAGCATATTATAACTGGGAAACAGACATTAACACTTTGGTTTTTGAAATCAAGTCATCTACAGGTTGACTAAGTATCTGGCTGCACACAGACTAATACTACTTAGTAGTTAAAACTAGTTAGTAATACTAATACTAATAAATAGGCTCATAAGGATGAAAAACAGGAGAGGGAGCTGCTTCTTCCAGGGCCACCCACCCCTTTTCCATGAACTACCTGAAGCTGGTGATTTGCTGCGACGCGAGGGCCCCGGGCTCTTGGATCCGGAATACTTAGCAGCTGAGGATCGTGAGTAAGATGACTTCAGGACCCGGCATTCTAGAAGGAAAAGGAAGAACCTTAAATCAATCTGGCTATCATACAGACCAGAGGCAGATTACACATGATTGCAAGTTACCACTGCAATAGAACCATTACCTCATCATCTTCAGCCACTCTAAAAGTACACCAGAGGTTATCTTTGGTTAGCACTTTAAAAAAATACATTATTAGAGAGGCAAAGACAGAGACAAACGACTATGAACCCACTGATTCACGCCCCAGATGCTGGCCAGGAGCCAGGTACTCAATCCAGGTGTCCCACATGGGTGGCAGGGACCCAGTACCTCAGCAGTCACTGCTCTATCCCGGGTCTGTGTTAGCAGGAAACTAGAATCGGGAACCCAGGCTCTCCGTCATGGAATTCCGTGGAATTCTGGCATTTTAACCCCTGGGCCAAACACCTGCCCCTTTAGTTAGCACTGACACACAACTGCTACAATTTCACTGTGCTCTCTTTAGAAAGGGAATGGCACTCTAATTTATGAAGTGCAAAACAAACAAGGAAACTAGCTTTAACAATACTTGCGATCCTCTCATAAACCACCAAATAAAACCGTATTTAGAGAACCGAAACTACAAGCAGCTAAAATAATCCTAATTTGAAGAGTTTTGGATGAATCGTGGATTTCACATTTGTTACCTGGAGGACCTGGGTTAGGTCCTAGGCCTCAGTTTTCTCCCCTATGAAATTGGGATACAAATAAAATATACTTCATAGACTTGCTATAAGGTCTAATTAGATAACGCATTGTCTATAATTTACTTTAAAATACTGCGATTTATGAAGGAAGATTAAAAGGTGGGTTACTTTTACCCTGTATCTCGGGGGCAGTAAATTAACATGTGAAGTGCACTAATCAGGAAAATACACACCAGGGGAGGCTGGTTAGCATTTGAGATACTAATCAAAGCAGCAGTAGCAAAGTTGGCTTACTTAATCAGCATTATAGATGTTAGAAAGTACTCAGTTGTTGAAAAGCGTGGGGTGTGGAGCTGGTTAGATACATTTTAAAGGCAAGGCCTCTGGCCTCTCTTTCAGGAGCTGGAGAACAGAGCCAATATCCAGAACTGCAGAACAACCCTCCCTGTCTCCTTCAAAACCAAGTGAGGAATCAGGATGGATGCCAGGCCTGCACCCAGTTCTTGACAGCATTTTGTTACTGGACTGAGATTAGGTTAGCCAAATTCTATAATTTTTGAATGGGTCTTTAATGATGTTGTCAGTAGCCTGAAAGCACAGAAAATTGGGATGTCAACAACATTACAACACAAATTTTTTTTTTTTTTTTAATATTTGGCTCCTGGTAATTGTACCTGTGGGAGAATCAGGTCTGGGATTTGGCTTTTATTGTAAAATTTACCACATAATGGTAGTGGTGTAATGACAACAAAAACAGTAGTAGACACATATTACTTATTATATGATGGGCACCCTTCTACTCATGTGACATTAATTAATGTAATTCACACAAAACCTTACAGAATAGCCATTATTATCCCCACTTTGCACAAGGTTAATTAAAACTAGGGAGTAGGGGGAAGAAGTGAATAGCTCTCACCTATCTCTATCACATGCCATCACAAAAAAACTACAAATGATCCAACTAAAAGTTACAACATACACATCTTAAAGTACAATGCTTGTGCACACATAGTAAGTGCTGAACAAAATTTTATGTATTTAAAAATTTTCATTTATTTATTGGAAAGGCAGAGCACCAAAGACAGACTGATCTCCCATTCACTGACTAACAAATGCCCCCAACAGCTGGGGCCGGTCCAGGCTTAAACCAGTTGCCTGAAACTTGACGGTCTCCTACATGGCAGCAGACACCCAAGTATTTCAGTCATTGCCTGCTGCCTCCCAGGGTGCACATTAGTAGGAAGCTGAATAGAAAGCAGAGTTGGAACCTGACCTGCTGTATGTGCAAGTAGCATCTCAAGTAGCATCTTAACCACTGTGTTTTATTATTGTTATTATCCAAATTAACCCAATTACTTAGAACACATTTACTTTCAATGTCTCAGCTTTCTTTTTTTAGTAGAGATTTGTTTGTTTATTTGACAGAGTTAGGGAGAGGGGAGAGGGGAGAGGGAGAGATTAATCTTCCATCCCCTGGTTCACTCCCCAAATGGCTACAACTGCCAGGGCTGCACCAGGCTGAAGCCAGGAGCTTCTTATGGGTCTCCCACATGGGTGCAGTGGCCCAAGGACTCAGGCGATCTTTTGCTGCTTTCCCATGCACATTAGCAGGGAGCTGGATGAGATGTGGAGCAGCTGGCACTGCAGTTGGTGGCTTTACAGCTATGCCACAGTGCTGGCCCCCGTCTCAGCTCTCAGAATGACAACTGCAGACATTGTAGTAATATGTAGGCACTTTTAAAAAGTTGTGGAAAAAGAAACTATAGGATGTTTATTTTGGAATAAAAATTTGAAATTCAAGCATAGTTTTTTCATAATAGGCATTTTCTTTTGTAAATTTTACTTGAGAGGCAATTTCATGAAACTTTTGAAGATTTAAAGACCTCTCATATCAAGAAACTACAGCTGAAATTACAATGTAAGGGATGATATGTAAATATGTAGTTCAGTCCACCTTAATCACACAGGAATGAGGAAGCTCATTAGCATAAATAACACAAAAGGAGGTTATCTACAATTAAAGACTTTCCAATGGTATTACCGGTCTATAGTAGGGCTATTGCAATCTAATGACAGAAACTCTCAAAGAAATGTGGCAGAAGTGAAAAATAAAGCACAAAACCAAACAAAAGGAACAGATAAAAGGGTCCCAAGTACTTGGGTCACTGATACGGGGAAAGAGCAAAGAATTACACAAGGAAGTCTGTACCACAAAAATCTAACAATTTTAAAAGTCTGTATCACTGCAACTGTTTGGCAAAATACAGACTAATTTATTATATCCTGGACTCTCAGAATCACTAACATCAATATAACTTTTAAGAAAAAAATGAGGCAGAGAAATGGACAGAGAGTACCCATCCGTTGGTTCAATTGTCAAATGTCCACAATGGCTGGGGTTAGGTCAGGCCACAACAAAAAGCTGAGAACTCAATCCAGTTTTCCCATGTGGGTGGCAAGAGCCCCAACTACTTGAGCCATCACCTGCTGCCTCCCACAATCTGCCTTAACAGGTAGTTGGAATCAGTAGCAGATCAAACCCAGGTAGTTTGATATGGGACACAGCTGTCTTCCCCATTTTCTTTTTTAAATATTTATTTATTTTATTTGAAAGAGTTACACAGAGAGGAGAGGCAGAGAGAGAGGTCTTCCTTCCATCTGCTTGTTCACTCCCCAATTGGCTACAAAAGCCAGAGCTGCACCGATCCGAAGCCGGGAGCCAGGAGCTTCTTCCGGATCTCTCACACGGGTGCAAGGGCCCAAGGACTTGGGCCATTTTCTACTGCTTTCCCAGGCCACAGCAGAGAGCCAGATTGGAAGTGGAGCAGCTGGGACTTGAATCAGTGCCCATATGAGATGCCGGAGCTTCAGCCTAGGGCATTAACCCACTGCGCCACAGTGCCGGCCCCTCTCTTAACCATTTTCTTAATTGCTAGGCCAAATGCCTGCTCTCATCCAATTTCGTTAAATCCAACTTTTTTATACATATAAAGAGTGGGACTATATCGCTAAGATCTCTTTTCTTTGTAAAATGTTATGTCTGTATGGTTTTCACCTGATTTAAAGATGAAATTGGGGGCTGTCGTTGTGGCATAGAGGGTTAAGCCGCTGCTCGCAGTGCTGGCATCCCATATGGGAGCCAGTACAAGTCCCAGCTGCTCCACTTCCAATGCAGCTCACTGCTAATGTACCTGGGAAAGCAGCAGAGGATGGCCCAAGTACTTGGACCCCTGCACTCACGTGGGAGACCTGGAAGAAGCTCCTGATTTTGGCCTGGCCCAGCCTTGGCCATTGTGGCCATTTGGGGAAGTGAACCAGTGGATGGAAGACCTCTCTGTCCCTACATTTCTCTGTGTATCTCTGACTTTTAAATAAATAAATAAACAAACAAACAGATTTTACTATCAGCTATAGCACTGATTATTAGGGTAGCAAATCACTGAATACAGTAGGGTAAAGCAATAATCCCAGAATTAAAAAAAATTTTCAAACATTTAAGCTGCTAGTTTAAAATTCCAATTTATTGGCTAACATCAAGAAAAGAGGATTTTGTTAATCCCCCCATGAAGCAGCTTTTTAAAAACTATATAAGCATGTTATATTTTAAAAAAGTTACAAAATAAGATAAAAGGAAATCTCAGATAATCACCATAACAGTTTATTATCCTCCTATGTATCTGCACATATACATCAAGGAAATCGGACAACTAATTGCTGTATGTTCAACACTACCCAAGCATTTAACCTGGCAGGGCCAGCCACCATTCTGAGTGTGAGCAGGAAATCCATTTCAGAGACAAACCAATGCAGTATGAGATGGAAATAAACTGCTAAAAATGGAAACAACTGGAATTAGGGGTTGGGTTTTTTTCTTCCCCCTACCCTTTTTTTTCTTAACAACTAGGCAAGCTTTCATTTTATTTATTCTGTATTTTAATTATTTCAAAAAGAGTACTTCTGGGGCAGCCATTTGGCCTAGTAGTTAAAAGGCCAGTTGGGGCACCTGCAACCCACATCACAGTGCTTGCATTCAAGTCCCAGCTCCAATCCCCATTCCAAATCCTGTTAATGTGATAGCTCAACTAGTCTGGCTCCTACCAATCACATGAGAGACCTGGATTGTGGTCCCAATGTTGTCGGCTTGATCCAAATGGGACACTGAGGACATTTGGAGAGTGAACCAATAATGGGACCTCTCTCTCTACTAAATAGAAAATTTTAAAAATAGAGACATGAAACAACAAAAACAAGAAAACTCTAGGGGTGACAGGGCTGTATAACCCAGAGTTGTAATAAGACATTAAAAACAAACAACAAATAGTACTGTCAAGGCCATCTTCCTTCAAAATGCAGAGCTCTTAACATGCATTGAGGGATGGAACCCCAAGCCACTGTGATAGGGGTGACACAGATGGGTCAATGAACTTACCACTGTGGTCCAGGACAAAGTCATCTTGGGCATAACGGAATTTTTCAGGTCCACATGCAATAAATACATCATCATCACCAAAAAAGTCTTGCAGACAAGTAACCTGGAAAAAAAATCATGCCCCAAAATAAATTAGAAACATTGCAAATGTAATAAAAACCAAAAGGAAGTACATGAAGCCTCCCCTACAATACTGAAGTGGAATAAGCAGCTGTTTAGTATCAAGATTTCCAAGCACTTTGCCTTCACCAAGCGCTCACACACTTTCTGTTGATTTCAGAACAACAGAATGAACAGTCCATGGCAGGCATCCAGAGTTTCTGTTTTGAAGGTGAAATCAAGAGGTGCACACACTGGGCCCTGCATTGTGGTGCAGTGGTTTAGGCTGCCAGCTGTGATGCCAGCTTGCCATGCTAGAGCACAAGTTCAAGTTCCAGCTGCTCTGCTGCTGATCCAGCTCCCTGATAAAGCACCTGGGAAAGCAGGGGAAGATGGGCCAAGTTCTTGGGCCCTTGCCATCCATGGATACCAGATGGGAGACCCAACCTCCTGGCTTCAGCCTGGCCCAGTCCTAGCTTTGCATCCATTTGGGGAGTAAACCACTGGATGGGCTCTCTCTTTCTCTCCCTCTCTGCCACTTTACCTTTCAAACAAACAAACAAACAAAAAGGATGTACATTCAAGCTATGCAATTCTCGAGTTTTCCCATGGACAGGCGGCAAAGCTGGGGCTACTGGAAGTCTGAAGTTCAGAGTTCTCTGCCTCCCTTCCTCTCCTCACTTCTGCACTCCCCAGCTGAGAGTCCTGGTACCAGGCCCTGGGTTGTTTTGAGGACTGTTGCTTGGAATCGTGCCTGGCATACAAGTGTTCCACGTGTTAATTCTCATCTCCATCCCCTTAACCCCCACCATCTAGATCAGAAGATCTTCCATCAAGCTAATGAGGCCAAAGCGTCAGAGTTCTTCCAAGGCCCTGCTCCTAAAGATGTAGTTTTTATTATGCATTCTTTTTTCAATATCCCTCATAACACTGTGTCAGTTTCAACACCCCACAGAATCTACATTACTCTACCATGGTGACAAGAACCATCTTTCAGTAGCTTGGAGGTAGAAAGGCTACTCTCACCTGCTATCCAATGGCTATATAAGAGTTATTTTGTGAAAACTCCATTCCCAGTAACAAAGTTGAAACACATTGCTCTAGTACTTAAAAGGACTGAACAACCTCATAATCCCTTAATTCCCCTGATTACCATTTAGCTTTCTATGGGGTTGGGTGCTGAATAGATCTCACTACAAAATTAGAAAACCATATTCCAGAGAAAAGATAGTGAACCAGACATACTGCAGATGACTCAGGTTGTAGTAATTAAGTGACCCAAATTTTTGCAATGCCAAAATGTTGACTGTACAGATGAAAAGTGGAGCAGTTACAGATACTTGTTTTCCCCAATGTTCATTAAGACAGAACTCCCAAACACTGGTTCACTCCCCAAATGCCCACAGCAGTCAGGACTCATGCCAGGAGTTGGGAACACAATCCAAGTCTCCTACATGGGTGGCAGAAACTCCAATACTTGAGCTGCCATTGTTGACTCTCAATGTCTACATTAGCAGGAAACTGGAGTTGGGAATTGAACCCAAGAACTCAGATGTGAAGTATGGGCATCTTCAGCTGGCGCTGTGGCACAGCGGATAAAGCTGCCGACTGCAGTGCCAGCATCCCATATGGGCACCAGTTCGAGTCCCAGCTGCTCCACTTCTGGTCCAGCTCTCTGCTATGGCCTGGGAAAGCCGTAGAGGATGGTCCAAGTCCTTGGGCCCCTGCACCCTCATGAGAGACCCAGAAGAAGTTCCAAGCTCCTGGCTTCAGATGGGCACAGCTCCCATCTTCAGATGGCTCCAGCCGTCGTGGCCAATCGGAGAATGAACTAGAGGATGGAAGACCTCTCTCTCTCTGACTCTTCTTCAGTGTATAACTCTGACTTTAAAATAACTAACTAAAAAAAAGAAATATAGGCATCTTAGCTGCTAGGCTAAATGCCTTCTTCAGTGAATTAATTTTTAATTGATCTTACTTGAAAATATTTTTTAAAATTTTATTATTTTTTGAAAGATTTATTTATTTGAAAGACAGTTACAGAGAGAGGTAGAGACAGAGAGAGAGGTCTTCCATCCGCTGGTTCACTCTACAGATGGCCGCAATGGCTGGAGCTGCACCGATCTGAAGCCTGGAGCCAGGTGCTTCTTCTAGGTCTCCCACGTGGGTGCAGGGGGCCATATGGGACGCCGGTGCTTCAGGCCAGGCATCCTGCACCACAACACCGGCCCCTTTAAAATTTAAATTTTAAATATTTTTTTAAAATATTAAAAAAATTTTACAAGGAAATAGGTCATACTAAGTTATTTGGCATTTCCCTGGAATAAATGACAATGTAAGTAAGTTATTTACCAAATGGAATAAAAGCATTTAAGAATTCTCCGGAATATAACAGATCAAAAAGGTATTTTTTTCCCTATAGTAGTTCTATTTAAGTCTTCCTAATCAATCTTTTAATGATTTATTCCATAAATTTCAGTTTGGATATCCAAACAGTTTGCATTAGATGTCGTCTGTTCTACTTTGACTCAAGCTATAGCCACTGGATGTGTATTTGTTTATGTAGGAATCCAAATTACATAATTTTCAATCCAGTTTGGATATGCCTCAAGTCATCACCACTCTCAAGAAATGACAGATCTGTGAATTAATGGTACAATTGGGATAAACACAACATGTCTTTTGACTATTTTTTAATTAATTTTTTTAAAGCTGTATTTATTTATTTGAAAGTCAGAGTTACACAGAGAGAGAAGAAGAGGCAGAGAGAGAAAGAGTAGTCTTCCATTTGTTGGTTCACTCTCCAACTGGTTGCAATGGCTGGAGCTGCGCTGATCTGAAGCCAGGAGCCAGGAGATTCCTCCAGGTCTCCCATGAGGGTGCAGGGGCCAAAGGACTTGGGCCATCTTCCCTTGCTTTCCCAGGCTGTAGCAGAGAGCTGGACCGGAAATGGAGCAGCTGGGACTCAAACTGATGCCCATATGGGATGCTGGCACTGCAGGCAGCAGCTTTACCCGCTATGCCACAGCATCGGCACCTTGACTATTTTATAAAGGCACAGCCACAACAGAGGTTACCCACAAGATATGAAACAAGTCCCACTGCCATTCATAGAACAGAGTTTAACTGAGCATTTGTTATGTTCCAGACATTATTCCATATGCCACAGATACCTGGTGGTGAAGAGAGACAAATATTCTTTCCCTCATTGAGTAAGAATGGGGAGATACACAACAAACAAATGCATAACTAAATGTATGCTGAACTAGAAGGTGGCAGGTACTGGAGCCAGGTGTCACTGCTGACACTTGCATCGCATATGGGCACTGGTTCTTGTCCCAGCTCATCCATTTCCAACCCAGTTGGGCGAGTTACAGAGAGGCAGAGAGAGAGAGAGAGGGAAAGAGAGGGAGGGAGGGAGTGTGGGAGGGAGGGAAAATATTCCATCTATTTGGTTTACTCTTGAAATGGCCGCAATGGTTGGAGCTGGGCCAATCCAAAGCCAAGAGCCTTTTCCAGGTCTCCCACATGGGTGCAGGGTCCCGAGTACTTGGGCCATCTTCCACTGCTTTCCCAGGCCATAGCAGAGAGATAGATCAGAAATGGAGCAGCTGGGTCTCAAACCGGTGCCCATATGGGATGCCAGCACTGCAGGCGGTCACTTTACTTGCTATGCCACAGCGCCGGCCCCTTAATTATTAATTTTAACTTAAACTGGGGTTTAACACTGAGATAGGGGGACAGGTCACTAAGGGTAGGAAAAACAAAATACCAGTACCATGGGTAATATCTCAAAATCATTCTTAACAAGGGTGAAGACAAGTACATCAGTTTAGAAAACCCCTTCCTGTTTGCCTCTAAATTCTCCCTTCAACACAAGGAAAAATGGACTCTTCCAGAGCTCTTTGGGAATAATGGATGTTACACAGCTTATGAAAGAAAGCCACATAAATAGGGGAAAGTAGTGCTTCTGCTAAGGTACAAAATTAAAGCAATCAGTAGGATCTAATGGCGAAACATCCAACTGAGAAATAACGTATCTACAGGAGCACATCTAAGCTCTCCCAGTGAATGGGGCCATTTAAAACTGCAATTTTCTAGCCTTCAGCAGACAGATTAATTAGGTCAGGGTGAATGTGTGCCAGCCATAATTTCAGTGCTAGTTTCTAATAGCTCGCCACACTCACTTTTTTTGTGTGTGTTTTTTTCTTTTTCTTTTTTCTTCCTTTATTTATTTTTACCATTCTCTCTTTGGTCTGTGTTAAAAGATACACAAACAAATAGGTGAGGCTTGATTTAAAAAAATACACTGCATATACAAGGTGCATAAGAAACCCTTTCCTGGGAACAAAAGGGAAGGGCACACAGGTATGCCACTTCTGAACCACCAGGGTTGTGTCAGGTCACCATTTCCTGGACTGCTGTCACCCTGGAAATCCTGTTTTTCATCCTGTCCAGAGTCACGAAGGACTTGGTGGCTAAGCAGGTTGGATTTCTCTTAAGAGCACTTCCTGCGGTAAAGCTCTCAAGTCTAAATATTTTAGTTTCTAAAAAGACTTTATTTTTATTTTAGGAGACTGCTTTCAAAAACGCTGAGCTCTTTATCTGCGAGAGAATAAAGGAGCACTATTTTAAGGGAGTAAATAGCAATGACATTTGGAATGTTTTTCTGTTCATGTTTCAGTTTCAAATTCCACAAAGATCATCAATGCCCCTCCAAACCCAGGTGTTCCCTTACTTCTCTGCAATTTGCCTGATACAGATGCTGTCACTGAGTTAAATACTTCTGACCAGACCGAGCTCCCTGCACACAGGGTGACTGTCTTGTTCAACACTGTGATTCCAGCACACGACACAGCACCTGACATACAGGGGTTTGCTCCACACACGTCCACTGAACAGATCATGACTGTGATGCCTTAAGTCCTTCTCTCTCTCTAGAGGCTCCACCTCACCTTCTTCCAATGAATTCCTAGCATCACGTTGTCCTGGCTCTCAGATTTA